TATGTGTTTTTGGTTGTTTAGGGGCTGTGCTTTGGTGGGTGGTGTATGTCCTGAGCTTTGATGGTCTACTGTGTGTGAATTATTTATTATGTTAGTTTTCCATGTGTTCTTCAGCAGTTCCGTGTGTTCTAGATCTTGTGGGGTCATTTCTTTCAATCCATGAAGAAACAAGAATTTGAGTTCATTTTGATTAAGCCAGATTGTTTCTGGATGTGTTGTGTGCTTCGGTGGTACCGGAGTATTGTTCTGTTATCATTATTGGTTGGGTTTTCCCTTCAAATTCCTTATGGTGGTTCATGAAGAAGAAATAGTTTTCATCGTTGGCACTTTGACCGGTGGTGGTGTGGTGAATTCAGCAGTTGACGGGGTTGAGAGTTTTCCTAGGTTGAAGGTGGTTTTCGTTTGCAGTTGCTGGTTTCGAGATCCCTGCATGTTAATATTTTTGGTGGAAATAAGGTGGTTGTTAAGTGATTGGTAGCTCTTTTCGATGCTTCAGGGTTTTTTTATTGGTTTAGGGTGAGCATGGTATGGGCGTTTGAGTGGAGCAGGAAGTGGTGAGTAAGTGGGAGCATGGGTGGTTTTGTGTGGTTGTAGTGCTAGCATGGGTGGTGTTCCCACTTCTTACAAAAAGCAACGTGTTTTCTAATGGTTTGTACCAAGTATAGTATGTTGGGTTTGTCCTGGTGTTTTATAGTGCCATTAGGTTCATACCATTGGCATTGTTGTTTGTGTATGGTACTCAGTGTTTCCTCTATGTATATTGTCGACTTAACTGTGTTAGTTATTATGTGTCAGATTTGAGCTTGTGGTAAGGGGTTCGATTTGAACCATGTAATTGTGTTATGTGTGTTTGATCTTGACCACCTTAAGGTTCACTCTTTTTCCTTCATTTAGGATTAGGAATGTTTTTTAATGAGGTCCTTGAGGTGGTGTACTTTGTTATCTTTCTTAATACAAAGTACTCTCTTTAAAAAAAGAGAGAAACTACACCACTAGGCCACCACTTAAGACGATAATTAATTGAATTATTTAAACAATAAATACTTATATATTTGAATTTAATTCTTATATATATTTATATCTCTCATTTGTTCGAAAGATGATTCCAAGATCTCTTAGAATAACAACTATCATTTTAATAATTGAGAATTTAAATTTACATTTAAAGACATTTGACATTATTTTTTTATTAAATAGTGTGGTATTACATTTTCAAGATAAATGTTGAGATTCGAGCTCACATAAATTAAGCTAACATAATCGACCAATTAATGGATGTCATACGTTCATCATTATTAAATTCATATGTGTATGGCATAATCCCTTATTTGATATATAATAAAAAAGATTGATCATTTTAATTAAAAAAATTGAATGAATGAGTAAAATGGAATAAATTGATAATATTAATGACAAAAACAAAACTTTTCAAAATATGGTAGCTTACTCAAAGTTGAGGTGTAATTTACCCTTTATTAAATTTGATTAAAGACAGCGTATTACTATTTTAAAGAAAACGACTTCTCTACCGCTGGATGAACGAAACCACCACCGAAACGACGTCGTTTTGGTAGTGGGTTGGCTTTTGGGGGATCAGTAGATGGCTATGCTTATTTGTCTTCTTCAGGTCACCAAACTCACAAATTCTTTTTTAAAAAAGAGAGGAAAAAACAAAATAAACCTCACGAAGGCGCTTCAAGAAATCAACTACCACAAATAATTCGGGTTTGAATTCTAATCCTTTTATTTCTGGGTCTTTTTGTAATCATGATTTTAGTTCAATTTTCATGTTGGTTTTAATCGTTGAAATTTAGGCTGCGGAATGTTACGGGATTTGGTTTGATGAGTTAGAGAGGGTGTTGACTGGTGAGTCGATTTGTGCGAAGAATTGAAACGCGTGGAAGCAGGTGGTGGGTGGGTAGGCGGAGACCGCGGAGGAGAAGTGAGCAGAGATGCCGGAGGAGGATTTGGTGGATATAAAGTTCAGGCTTTATGACGGGTCGGATATCGGGCCGTTTCGGTACTCCGCCACATCCACGGTGGATATGCTTAAGCAAAGAATTGTCTCTGATTGGCCCAAAGGTTTGTCATCAACAATTCTCCTTGTTTCATTTCTTTTTCTAGTTGCTTATGAAGTTTTTGCTGTTGGATTTGTGTTTAGTGATTGAATTTTGCATTTGTTGTAAATTTCTAGGCAAATTTATGTTAAATTTAGAAGACATGGTTTGCTAGATGGTATATATTAATCGTGCAGAGGTGATCCAGTTCAGAGTTTGTTCTTAATTATTGTAAAAACAAATGAAGAAAGCTGTAAGGTTAGCAGTACAATGCAATAAATAGGGAAAATTGATAGCACAAGGTGATAGCAGAGTTTTATGATAGGCAATTTTAGGATCTTGGATTCTATCTTTTTGCTGCAAGATAGTGTCTTTAGATTCTTAAAGTAGCCACAGACTATGTTACCTGGATTTATTTTCGCTAAAGTATTCCTGTCCGACATAGTTGGAAATAGGTATAGGAATATGATTCTTCGAGCGTATGAGATTAAATTTTAAAAAACTGAGCATACTCATGAGTCATGCCATCTCTTACCATTGAGTTTGGATGGCAGAGGCTACCAATGGCCTAATAAAGGGTGGAGATCCTCTTATACAGATGTTGTACCTGCTTCAATGATGCATCTATTGCATGTGATCAATGTGGAAATGATTAATAGGAATTGCAAAATGTCATTATGACTGTATATTTAGAGAGAAGGCTAAACTTGGCTGCTCCGTGAATACGTGTTATTATTGTGAACTGTTGGATTATTACTGAAATATTCCATGGATGCTATTGACTCTTGTTCTTTCTTCAAGTAAATGGATTGCTAAAGTAATGATTCATGATTTTATTTCAAGTATTGTGAAATAACTTCAAAGAGTGCATTGCCTTTTGCTCCATTGTCTTGTGGCCTACATCTATTAACAATCTTCAGACTTATTTTCCCATAAGACCCACAAGAAAGCATAAAGGCTAATAGTTTGAAGCATTCTGTTTTAAATCTTCCTTAATGTTGTGTCTGTCCTTAGGTAAGACAATTGTTCCAAAGGCAGTGAATGAAGTCAAACTGATAAGCTCTGGCAAAATTTTGGAGAACGACAAGACTGTTGGTCAGTGTAAAATACCCTTTGGTGATGCTGCAGGTGGGGTTACCATAATGCATGTTGTAGTTCAGCCTTCACTTGCAAAAACTAAAACAGGTATTCTTGTCTCTATCTTCATGTAGAGCTTTTCTCGTACAAGTTTAAGAATTTTTTCTTTTTGGCAATTAAGATTAGCTTTCTTGCCAAAGTCGATATCAGGATATTCCTGTTAATTTAATTTTTACCTGAATTAGTAGTGATACTACAAGCCAAAACTTCTAATTGCTTGACTGGTAGCCAATGTTTAGATGTATAATTTATATTGTCCTTCTGATGGATGTGATATATGTAATCCAATTTAAAGGTGGAGGATTTTCTCAATTTTAAAAATTAATCATTTCTTACAAGCATTTTGGGAGAACAATGTGGAAAGTGAGAACTATTGTTTAAACTTTATCGTTGATCATTGATGAGCATGTTGCTTGAGTTATGATGAGCCTACTAGAGGCCATCTTTTCCTTTTCCTTCATTCATTACTAAGAGATGCTCATAGACATTTTTTGCTTCTTTCTACATTTCCTCCCACATGTATTTGCATCTGGATTGCTTCGTCAAGTCAGTTACCCATGATTCACTAACAAATTGCGATGATAATAATAATAATATACCTTTTCATAAAACTTAATGTATCACTTTACCCATATGTGCTTGATTTTCTGTCTGAACAGAAAAAAAGGTTGATGATTCACCCAGAAAGATTGTATGTTCCTGTTCCATTTTATGAAACCAAAACTTGTAGAGTTGGAGCTTCTGGTAAGAATGTTTAAGAATGTAAACATCGTCTTTGAGTATCCGGTGTGTGTTCGCTGCAAAGCCCATGTTTCAAGTTCTTAATGAAGTGATGAAGATGTGCATTTTTATTTACTTCAGTTCCATTTATGATTTGTTTCCAAATACTAGCATGAATCATTTGTAAAGTTGTATAGACTACTCCATGCAAACACAATATGCAAACATCAAATTGTAAGGAGAAATGCTTTTGTATAAATGCTTTCGATTACTAATAATTTGTTTAAATGTTATCTCTATGCTTGATATTGGGACGAACGGTGTGTGTTGTATTTGTGTCTAATATGAGTGTTCTGTTTTCTATATATTTGGAATATCATACTCTCGAAAGCCATGTAATGCAGGTCACAAATAACGTATGAATAATATACCTTTATCGTTCGGATGATGGAGGATTTCAACTTTTCAAGCTTTGAATTTGATAAGTACATCTAAGCAAGATTCTAACAAACTTTAAAAGCATATAGTTATTTCAATATTACAATCTTAGTGATAGGCGATGAGAGTAACCCGAACCAAGTCTGTTTAATCCAATTAGTTCATGCAATCACGATTTAAGATGTTTCATTTATAGGTTAAAAGATTCGAATTATAACATTTCTAGCCATCAAATAGGTCAAAAGATTCGAATTCCAACATTCCCAATACCATCTTGTTTCATCCAATATATTGTAGACTCAAATTCTTAACATTCCTAAATTTCACCAAGTTTACAACCTTGCCTTCCTTTATAAATTCCTATACTTCAAAATTAAATCTTTATCCAACCTTCATCTACATTTTACCATCACATTTTCTTACCTCCTATAGAATTTACTCTCTGTCTCTATCCATTACAATCTATGTTGAACAGATTTGTCTTTTTCTTGGTATAATAAAAAAAGTTATATGGCAAAGACTATTATAGAACCTTTATCTCATATTTCAATATATTTTTCCCATGTCAGGATCAAACAACATATTTCAATAGAGAAAACATCGATAGTCCTCTAAATCACAGTCACAGTTTCAAATTCTCGCAATATATGCTTCAAAATATACTAAAATATTCCTCAAATTCCATATGCCACATTCACAAAAACCCTCAAATCAGAACTCATGTTCCACCATCTTCTCACGACAATTCCGATCAACGAACTCGTCTTTTCAACCGACATCAAGAAACATTAACATGACAAACACTTTACAGTATCACATCAAATCTTTTTAATCAATCGAATCTCCAACAAAGGACTCAAACCAGTAAATGAAACCAATAGGATCATATGAATATATGCATGGAAGCCAATCAAGTGTTCGCTTTTACGATATTATTACTAAGAACAGACCACACTAGAGACTGAAAGAGGGTAAGAGAAGGTATTAGCATATTGAAACTCGATAACCCCACCATTGATCAAGGGCTTGCCGTCGTTAACGAGACAATCGTTGTAGCTCAGGCGCTTGAATATGTTCGGGTTGATAAGATGAGCAGAGCTGAACCAGCCGCAGGTTACGTGAATCCCAGAGATGTCGCAGCCAGTGGCACAGATGTTGAGGATTTCGACCGTGTAGGTGGGAATGCCGCACGGGAGTGGGGCAGTAGGTCCCTGGTTTATCTCTATGTCAGCTTTGCTACACTTCTCTCCCCGTATCCGGTTCGGTTCCGCCATCACTGTACCTGAAGCCAAAAAAGGACAAAACCAGAATGTGTTCAGTTCAATTTAGAATTATAGTATTAAATTGTGGTCGCATATGCAACATAAAAACATAGTTATTTTTAAAAAATAAATCACGTCCACAGCCACAACCTCAATTTAGCACTATGTTTAGAACCCATACTTTAAAATAAAATTTCCGATAGTGAAAGTCAAAGCTATCATCAATAAACTAAACAAAACAATGGTAATGTGAAAACCTCACCAAAAAAACTTAACCAATAAGGGAAAAGTTCTGCAGACAAATTACACTTTTTAGTAGGATGATTCACAGGAATTGTAAGGAAAAGGAAACAGACAAATTTTAACCCAAAAAGGCCTGCTATAAAGTAGGGACACTATCTGCAAATTGCTTTAAAGTTTTAACTTTTTTTCTATTCAAAAAAATGATAAATTCAAACACTAAAAACATAACTTTTCTCCAAATATATCACAGATTCTATTTGATTAACAAAAATATACATTTTAATCCATAGGCTAGCATAAAAAGATGGTGCTAAATTGTGAACTAGGTGGGCTAAACTTTAAAGCCATTAGCTTTTCATTTATGAAGGCAAAAGAGGAAGAAAAAATTCGATGGGATATTAATGCCCATCTCAAAGATGCTATCAACAGTGACTGAATCATCAATATTCAATGCCAAGATGACAACCATTGTTAACAGTGCACGTTAGCTTCAACCGTAACGGAAAAAAACAACAAAAGAAATACAACAGACGTGTGCGCCTCTGACATTTTTGAATCGTACGCATTGGTATTTGTTTCCACGGAATTTTAACCTCATCATCCCAGAAGAAGCCCCACATTCTAAAACAACAAAAACCCTGCTTTTTTTTTGGCATCATATGATGAAGAACAAAAGTTGGTACTTACGAAGAAGCTTGCGATGTGGCGTGAAAAGGGTGTTGATGTTCCTTTGATGGAACCTTACCCTCAATAGCTTCAAATCAAATGAGCCATTGATGTTTTTACCCTGACCTACAACAAAATCCCAGAAAGAAATAGCAAAAAATGAAGGGAATTTAAAAGGAAAAAACATGGAGAACCCCCATGTTTCTGAAAGAGGTGTCATCGTCCACTTTGATAAAAGGAAGCAAATATATATTAAAATAATGGAGCAAAAAAGGTATCTATGCATGTAAATTACGCACCTGAGAAAAGGGCGACGAGGAAAAGAAATAACACAGCGAAGGAAAACAAGGATAGTACCAAAAGGAATCGCCGATTCATCGGTGAAAATAGAGAAACCCTCATATCAGATTCTCTTCTCGAAAATAAAAAAACCAAGTTCTTAAAAGTCAACAAGTAGACTCGGAGAGCCTGAAACGGGTGAGTTGAGCCTGAGTTGATAAGGGAATATGTTCAAAACGCCATGGAAAAAAACCCAGAAGCAAAGAGATTCTCTATTTTCGTTTGTTGGGTGTTTAGAAACTGGGAAAATCTGCATAAAAACAAGATTGAAAATGAATATATACATATACATATACATATACGTATAAATATACCACATCCATCCATCAGAATAAATATATCAATAAAATGAAAGGGGATGAAAAACAACCGTCAGATCAGAAGGCGGAGGCGATTCAGATTCTGACTAGAACCAAACAGAAAGTGTACAAAAACCGACTAGGTTTTACGAGAGGTGAAGTACAGGCACCAAAACAGATTAAACGGTGACCTAAGCGACGGCGATTCGTACCAGTCCAACTCATTAAACAAAGAGTTTGAAAACCCATTTTCATTTCAATGTTCTTGTTTTTTTCCTTATTATCTCAAGAAACGAAAGTGTTTCTTCTATGGTGAGAAAAGTAACAGTTCGTGAGGGAAAGGAAAAAGCGAAAGAAATGTTTGGAGTGAAAGAGAAAGGAGTTGGACAAACCCATAAAAAACATACACAGTGAAACTTAAATAAAAACGGGCGTAGAAAATTAAATTTCAGTAGCTACAAAGAGGTGTTGGAATTTACTGAGCAGATGACAGAGCAAATAGTACTACAGTACACAATCAATGCAAACAGCAATGCAGAGGAGAATCAGGCAAGATAGAATTGCATTTTTATTTGCATGAATTATGTTAATGGGTTTATTTTCCTCTTTTTTACTAAGCATATATATTTGAAGAGAGACAATTTGCAGATAGAAGATCGCGGAAGACGGAAATGATAAAAACAATAAAATCCAAGAAAAGTTCATTGCAAGTATTGATCTAAAACCCAAATTTCAACTACATTTAACCATTTTTCTTCGTTTACAGCTTACAATCTAATAAGAAACAAAAGGAAAACAAGGAGAGGCTCTTCACCTTATGAGAATGAAGTATATAGATAGTGGCAGAAAACATTCAACACTTGAACGAATGCGTTTTGGGATCTCTTTTAGCTCGAAAATGGAGCTCAGGATCAGAGAGATGATAAGTAAGGCCAAGGGCCAAGGTAGGAGGCAAACAAAACTGCGTGTGATTTATAGTTTCAGAAAGGGAAATAACATCTTTTTGAAATTATGAGGTTTTGGTTGTATTGAAATTATTCAGGATGGCATGAATTAAACGAATTCAATAATTAAAGAAATATTTGTTATCTTAGGAGTCTCGGTCTTAAGTATTTCTTAATTATTTGATAATAAACGTTTAATCACTCTTATAATCACTGATGTTCGAACTTGTAACCTCTAGAAACAACAATGATTCATTTAACCACCGAAATAAGTTGAACTTCATACCACGAGTCTAAATATTATATCTACATGAGTGTTGAAATATTCACTATTAAATAATTAAAAATATTTTAAATCGATATCTTCATATAATCACCCAGCTAAATAAAAATCTAATTACCTCATCTTCTAACAAAATTAATCAAATCATATCAATCAGCATTATAACATTCTTTAAAAAAATGATCACACTAGTTGTGGAAAGTATCTCTAGGAATATTCTTTGTTACGTCAAAAATGTCGTAGAGAATCTCTTTAATAGATAATTATACACGTCTTGGGTACTAAATTCACAATTTGTGACATGTTAGTAATCATGTCAATTTAACTAATACTTAATCAAAGCACAATTAATTAAATTTAAAATTAAAGGTTTTAGGACTCTCAACGCTATTAAAATATTTTTAGGGGAAACAATAAATATGCATTTTTATTTTATAATTTTCACATTTAAAAAATCATTTTTCTCAGCTAAATGTATCCATAATTTGATTTTTTTTTTCTTTTTATTAGTATGAGATAATTACAAGATAATAAATGTTCGAAAAACTCTCAATCATTTGACAATGAATGTGCAAACATCCCTACAAACGTCGTTCTCGAACCCATAATTTCTAAGAATAACAATCATCCCTATAACGGTTGAGATTATTAGTTCGTGTGATTTTTTGTTTTATTTTTAATCTTAAATGTCAGTTTGAAGATTATTATTATTTTTATTAATAACAGACGTGCAAATTAGGATAAGCAATATGTACATATTAAATGCCCACCTCTAATGGAATTAATTATAGAAAAAGCTTAAAGTGATAATCACAATAGCAAAAGGAATAAGTAATTTTTATTTCTAATAATGGAGCAAACAAATATTCAGAATTATGGGCAATAACTTTTGCAATACATTATCAAAGAACAAAGGGTAAGGATATGATCAAATCAAAACATGTTGTCAAAAAAAGAAACAATGTAATGGCCAAAAGGGATGAATGGGTGATGTTAGATGATACACAAATAGGTCAAAACAACCAATTGGGTATGTGATAATTCAAACTTTAAAGGGCATGTGAATTAAGGTGCATTTCCACTTCAAAATTCTTCTTCTTCTTATAACTGGATTTTGACAGGTGATTTGGTATTTTTCCTCTTTTACAATTGTTCTTAGATAAATTCGAAATTAATGATAAATTTCTTCAAATTAAATATTGAAAAAAAAGTTTTTTTTCTCTCCCTCTTAAATTAAATAAATGATATATATGAATAAATATTATTATCGACATGGAGGATAAAGAGAAAATACTATGATTACTCGTTGATAAAATAATATTACCACAATTCAATCAACACTTATCTTCGGTGATTACGACCGTTAATATCCAACGTGAGGATCAAAGCAAGGATAAATAAACTAAATAATCAAATAAAAAAAGTCAAATTCAATCTTAAAAAAGAATGTTCCATAAAAACAAATAAAACCATTTATAATTTTATACGAAAATAAAAAAATAATACAATCATAGTAGTAGGCATTAAATGAAGAGTCTTGTGAAGATGATGAGTGGGGAGATGAATGGAAAGGAGGAATAGGCCCTAACCTAAGGACAAACAGGAAGAGGGCAAAAAGGTGGGGGACATGGGGTTTGACACTTCGGCTTTTCCTTGTTTTGGGGGTCTTAATTTATTTGAGATTTAAAATTTAAAATAGGAAATGAGATGTTGTCAATTGGGAAAGATAAATGCACCCCACTGAATGTATGCTTTGGGGCGTAAGAAAGTCGAGTTTATGGGCAAATTGATGTTTGATTCTACTTTCATGAAATTTGAATTTCCATGTTTTTTTATCCCGTTAACTAGTCTATCCGGAAACTGCATCGGATTATAGAATTCAAGAATCACTTCCGGTTGCTTTGCTAGCGAAAAGGGAAATTACCATTGCGACAACAAAATGGCGCGACAGTCGCTGTGGACGCTCTTGCTTGTTGTCGGGGGATTTCATCATCTCCAGAATCCTAACTTTGTCAAGCAACTCTTGGATGGTATTGGACGCTTCTTACAATGCAAACCGTTCTCAACATTCATGTCCCTTTTGAGAAAAACAAAGCATATCGAATACGTAAAAGTAGATGAAATGAACGAAATTCGTGTTTTATCGGCGCCATCAAACGGGTGCAGGAAGAGAATGAAACCTTAAACTTTACTTTGGATATGAATAACAGTAGAAAGAGGGTGGATGGAATACAACACCTTTAGCTTTTTTCTCAACTTCTCTTCCTCTTTGTCTCTTTTATCTCTCTCCTCCGAGAATATGCTAATGATACTTTCTTGTTCAAGGCTCAATTGCTCAATTTTTTTCAGTGCCTCTGAAAGCTGATATATAAAATAAATAAATAAAAAGAAGTGAAACAATTCCTTGCATTTTACTTAAGCTAGATGGAGAAGGGGGCATAACCTCAATTTCGAGTGATTGACGCCGGTTTCTCTCCTGTTGCAAATCGTTGAGCAATTGATGTTGATGTCCTCCCTCATATTTTTCTAATATGCAAAAAGTAATAAGGACCTTTTAGATTAAAGTCGGGTCATTCTGAAACCCATAAATGACCAAAGCACAAAAATAACCTTCGACTTTGATTGTGCATGTAACAAACTTTTGACTGCTCCCATTAGCTTGTTTCTCAGGCAAGACCTCACACACATCATCGCTGACATCTTGTGTAGGAGGAGAAGATGATTTAAAAGAGCTTATTCCTTTCCCGGATTTTGTGGTGACCTTCGTAGTATCTATTGTTGCCTTTTCCCTATTGTCATACTTGTTAAACACACGTCCGTTTCCACCATCCACTGGTTTAGGAATCCCTGACTTCCTTTTCCTCTTTTGTTCCAATTTGAGGGTGAATACAACTTGTCCGAGTCTGTAGACATTCTCTTGCTGCTGTATGTACTCTTCTTATTTGATCGAGTAGATTGTTGCGGATCATAATCAAGAAAGGTATCTACAGGATAAAAATTCTAGACATCAATCAGGGAGTAACTTAAAGTTCACTGTCGACAACAAGCATGTCTTTAGAGAGAGAGAGAGAGAGAGAGAAATGTCATACCTCTGTCTAAAGACTGTTCTATACCTTTCTTATTCCGCCGTGGAGCATAGCCAATTCTATGATAATTGGTGGTCTTAAAATAAAGAAGTCAAAAGCAATTAGAAATTAGCTTGAATCCAAAGTAGAGCAGTAGAAAGAGAAGTTAGCATTGCTCGAAACAAACCAGTAAGCTTTTTGCATTTCTTTTAGTCATGCTTCGAGTCTAGCAAGAACCGTTGTACGCTCAAAACCCTGCTTATCATGAACTGGCTCAATAAAATTAGCCTCCAAAACACCTGTCATAAGAAGGAAGCACATTAGACCCTTTTTTTTTGGGGGGGGGGGGGACAGTACGTTGGTACATAAACAAATAAACTAAATAAGTGCGTCAAGTGCCGAAAATATACCTATAACCCCACGCCCATCACTTCAGGCAGCATTCCAGACCCTCCAAAATGGCTCGAGAAATAGGTTATAAAGGAGGCATTAGGCAAGAGGAATGTCTAAAGGAAAATACATGGAAGGTAAATTTGACTAGCGTGATGCAAAGTGCAAAAACACGCTGTCATTAAATGCATCAATTAAAATACAAGTGAAATAAATGTTATAAGCAATCCTTGTGATACATTGTACAAGAAAATATAAAGCAAACCTCGATGAGTCGGTTTTTGTGATAAACATTGAAACCTTGAACATCAATATGATATTTTGCATCTTTCACAAAACCAATGGTCACCACAGCAGCCAGCTGATGACAAAAGTGCAAGAAAACCAGGCATCAAACAAGCATATAGCAAAGCACATCGAAGATAAATATATTTCTATTCAATTATTACATTCAAATCCTTGGGGGCACCCTCGGCACTGGGATTTGGTCGATAGGTTATTATCTCGGTGAGCATCATATCATTAACTATGTTGTGGTGCTCAACATCTTTCCCACGTAAGATGATTCTGAATTTAGCTGGAAGTCTCAAATAAAGTATCGATTCATAACTCTGCCAGATGAACACGGGAAAAAAATATAAATCAATTACATATGCCAATAAATAAATGTGCTATCTCCAGCGAAGGCATAGTAAAATACAAAGAGCTTTTACCATGGGTAAAAATCATAAATTTTCTGCCATGGAAAAAGAGGAAATTGATGTTAGTTACCCTCAATGAATGTCCTAGAGTTGGGATACTCTTTTGCCATTTGTATATTTTTCTCATCACGGTTAACACCTCTGAGTTGGATATCCTGCCAAGAATAATTCACCCCATAAGTTCAACATCACAAATGCATTCTATGCTGTTTGTATTTAGATTTTAATAGTAAAGAAAAAGTCCAGAACGTTCGAGACATACATGTTGATCCGCATGAAAATCAAGCTCCAAGAGTCCCTGGTCATCCTCCCAGAGATTATATATAATAATTCGTGTGCCATTGTCTTTCAGATAAAATCAATTATTAATCAGATGTCTAGCGGATTACAAGGGAAGGTGCATCAAGTAAAAGATGGTATGAGAAAAGAGATGAAAAACCTAGTACATTCAACCAATTTGCAATTAATCCACACGGTGATGGTACCTTATGTTTAAATGGAGATAGAAACTTGCTATCCTTTTCTTTTCTCTTTACTAGGAACATGGAGCTTCTTGAATATTAAACGGTTTATGGATCCATGTCAGGAAATGAACCATTGAACATATACTTGATTCTTTGGATCTCCAGTAGAATAGGAGTGTATATCCTTCCAAGTTAATCTTATCAAATTTTATTAACAAAACTAGAGCTTAAATTTCTATGTTCTTGTTGAAAAAAAAAACAAAGCTCAGCATCAATGTTACATTGCAGAGAACTACTAGAGACGCAAACCCAAGTCTCGCATTCTCACAACCATGTATCTATCATGAAGCTGGTAATACTTGCACCAACTGCTTTATTACCTCAATCACAATAGCAGCGCAGACCAGCTCCTGCTTGGGTTGGTGCTGTGTGAAGGATGCTTCACGTGAATATAATGGAGGTGGTGGGATCTTTGGGGGGGGGGGGGGAATAGAAATTAGAAAGCTTTTCATGTTTTAGTGATCAATTTGTTACTTTTGAAACTTCAGTGGAGAAATCAGAAATTTATTCAAATATTAGTGATCATTTGTGTACTTTACTCTTTTTATTTTTTAAATTCACTTCAGCAATTCGTTAAATGTCTAACGGAAGTTAACCCTCAGTGATTATATCTTAAATAAAAACGAAAGTGACCAAATATTATGTTTATCCTTTATATATTTATAAATTTAGTAAGGAAAAATATACAAAACTTAAACGAAAGTGATCAATCATGTAGTTTACCTTTTATATATTTATATAATATTTAAATTTAATAAAAAGTATATATAATATTTAAATTAAAAAACTAAGAGTAGTAATTATTTAATATGGTCATTTCATATGAATCCAAAGTATTTTGATCATCTCAATTAGGTCTGATCAATTTTTAATTTTAAAAAATTAGGTTTACTTTGAGTTAGATCAAATTTTTTTAAATGTAAAGTCGGGTCGGGTCGGGTCGAGTTTGAGTTTATGATAATAAAAAAACCGACTCAACATAAAATTATAATTATCCTTAATACATTTATTCATAATAATATTTATTTCTATATTATTATTTTTCATTTAGATCCTTATTTACCTAATTAATAAAAATGAATTATATATATAAGTCGAGTCGGATCAGGTTGAGTGCAATTTTTTACCTAAAATATTAGGTCGAGTTTTAGGTCGGATAGAAAAGGTCGAATAGGACTCTCTTAAACTCATATCGATCGAATACGGAAGAAGAATTTAACTCAGATTAAATTCAGATAAACCAAAAATTCGACCTGATACATTATCATATCTAAATTATATATTCCGTACGTTCACTCATACTCATGTAATAAAATATAATGTTTTTAATTGAATTGACATGTGTTGAATAAATAATATAGAATCTGGATTACATGGTTAGTCCTACTACGTGTTGTGAATCTTTCGTCACCATAATAATTAGCCTCTTATCCCACACTCTTAACTTTTCTTCAGATTCTTCCCTAAAGGAATACTATATATATATATATATATATACACACATACATACATACATACATACATACATAAAACTCCCCATTAATTTACAATGTGCTCTGCTCTCCATGAGCTGAATAACAACAATCCCCAACACAAGAGGTTTCTGTTTTGTCTTTCGTTTTACTCATTATTAGTTGAGTTTTTTTAATTATTGTTGTTGGTTGATCATATGTTCAGTTCAATGTTTGATTCAATTTATTGTTGTTTTAATTTTATCCACTAGGAAGCATGGAGGTTGAAGAAGACCAACAAGTTGGCTCTCAATAGTTTTTTTTTTTTTCTTATCAAGAAATATCTTTCTCTCTTCTTTTTCTCAGTGGAGTGCAATGGATATCGTAAAGAGGAAATGGAAGAACATGGTCATGAAGGTCTGGGATAGATTCTGCAACACATCGAGATCGCCGACGTCTCCGAACAGCCACCGCGCCGAAAACGTAGCGCCTGAAGGGTGTTTCTTCGTCTACGTTGGACCCCAAAGACGAAGATTCGTGATCAAGGCCGAGATCGCCAACCATCCGTCGTTCCAGATGTTGTTAGAAGACGCCGAGCTCGAGTACGGCTTCAGCAATGAAGGTCCACTCCTCCTTCCTTGTGATGTTGATCTGTTCAACCGAGTTTTAGCAGAGATCGACAATGGCGAGGATCGAGAAATGACTCCGATTTGCAGCTTCGCTTACAGCCGCCCTGCTCGTCGGCCAACCATGAATAAAGGCCATGGATCGTATAAACTTCTCACTCCATCTTGAATGCTCGCAGTTCCCTCTTTTCTTCCAAAAATGGGATTAGATGTTTTGGGGAAGATGATGCAAATACATCAACGTAATTGAAAAATGGTGCAGTGTAACCTTCATAATTTATTAGTACAAACAGCTTTTACTTAAAATCTAATGCATAGTTATATTTGTCATATTATAGAATTGATTTTATCTGATATATGAATTATTAATGATAATGTTAAAAGATTGATTAGTTAAAGGATATGAAACTTCAAAAACTTTGATCTTTAAATAAGTTTTAAAGACTTCATCAGACAGAAAATCAACAAAAATATTATTTATAAAAGAAATTCGATATATATTATATTGTGTAAAAGTTTTCAACTTTATATAGATTTAGGAATGTTAGATAAATAAAAATAAATAACTGAAATTAATATTAAAAAATAAAAAAAAATATTTATTAAAAAAATAAAAAAAAAATATCAACCATTTATTTTAAGTATCTAACGATCATAAATAATCATAAATATGTTACGTAACATAATCATTAACCACCGATGGTGAGATGACCACGGTGTTTCCTTCAAGTCAGAGGGAATAGGGGATCCACATTTAAAATGAGCTTTTGTTTTGGTTCACTTTGTAACGTAGGCATTTTTAACTTATTATTATTATTTTATATTTGAAATGACTATATGGTTCTACTCAATTTTACATCTAAACATTATATATTTAAAAAGAAATAACTTGGAAAATAAATAAATTTATTTATTTTAAAATTTTTAAAAAAACAATGAGTAAATGAAGTGAATAATACAAAAATTACATTTGTGAAACTATAATTGAAATTTCTTGAATATTACTTTTTATTATGTTTTCATTAAACATGAACCACTTGAATCAACCCCTATTGATATAATATCATATTTAATATTCCCTTAATCGCTAATCATTAAATTTGGTCGTTAAATTAATGAAAATGATGGCATGGAATGGTATAATCTCGTAACTATGCATTGCAAGTCCTCCATGGTAAAGTCTTGAAAACTTCATAAGCTTTGTCAACACATTTAGCATACATGTCAATAAGAGCAGCGCCAAGCTTTGGATTTAAAAACATCGTCTTTTTATCTTAGAGTCATGCACCCACTAACCAATTTCCGAACCTCCCAAATTAGCAGAAGCGAAGAGTACATAAACCGAAGTCAATTCATTTAATCCAACCCCATAATTCTTCATTCGATTAAGCAAATCAACACTTTATTCATACCTCTTTTGCTTCACATATCTTGTTATAATCCCAGTCCAAGTAACCACATTTCACCGAGGGATTCTATCGAACAACCGCGCAGATCCAAAGTCACCAAAAGAACTATCAAAGAAGATAAAGAATGTACCTCAGAACTAAATCGTTTGTCACTTAACATGGTGTTGAAAAGCGAATGCGAGTGGCTCGGTTATTTGGTCGAACACTTGGTGGCCGTAAATGAGACCGGACAAGCGAACTAAAGCTTCGATGAGTTTGGGAAGGTACATATCGATGCCAACTATATTGCCATGTGTTGACAATGTCAATGCCAATACCATGAACATGTCATTTTTAATTAACGTAAAGGGTTTCATATCAACATAATCCCCATTGATACAAGTAACTGGGCATAAATAACAGTTAGCAAGAGCAAAAGAGTAACTAATTCCTTGATTCTCCTGAGCTTAACCTAAGCTGGCTACATACAAAAGCAAGTAGAGTCGAACCTCGATAATCAAGAAGCTTTGTATCACATATCCAACTGCGCTTTTTGACGGGATGAAACTTCAAGCAACACTGCACCCACGGCGGGTTTCTGGCACCATCATTTGATGGCACTCCAAGCAATTGAATTAGCTTCCGTCTCGGTGCATCAGTGGATGAAGCATTGAAAATTTTCTCCTAAACAAATGCAGCAAAATAAAATTGAACAATTTACAAGTCATGAGGAATGACAAAATGATGTACTAGTAAACTTCAATTTCACATGACAAATGAAATATTTTACAAAATGGTCCTAGTTTACAATATTAGGAACTTGGAAGGCTTTATCCACTGGATTGCTAGGCCAGCTAATTTAGAGGCAGATGTTTTAGCAAAGTCGGGAATCGGCTGAGATAGGATGTGGGTTTGGGGTTTATTTTTGGTTTTTCTTGTTTGTGGCTGTATCTATTGTTTGAATTTTCTGGTTGTAATCTCCGACTGTTTATTTATCCTGATATGAATAAAATTTGAGACACTCTTCCTCCTTTCACTGATTTCTGGTTCACCTTATGGTGTTTCATCAATCATGAAGGGGGTTTTTAATGAGGTCTCCATTTCTTATCAAAAAAAAAAAGTTTGCAATATTGGATTCAAGAGTTCATGTAAAATGATTTTACACCAGAACAGTCTAAAGATTATATATATCACCACAAAAGTTATAAATGTGAAAAGAAATGGTCGAATAAATGTCCTTACCCCATCTTCAGCATAAGCATAGATTCGGGTAGTTGGATCCACTAGGGTAAACCTAACCCTATAAATTCTACCACGAGATCGAAAATCCTCAACTCGGATTATACACCTGAATTTCATTGCTACCTGGAAGGTTACCCGAGCAACAAATAAGAACAACTCCAGTTAAACATTATTATCTGGTTTTTGTATTGCTGCCAGCCTGCCACGGCATTCGAGATAAGTCTCATATGAAACCATGGCCACTCCCCATTTACCCTTCACAGAAACCCCTTGAAAAAGATGAAACCATTGAGCTTAGTCATCCCTACCAGTGGTGGTTAAAAGATTATATTAGGTATAACCACCTATCACGTGCCATTTTCACCAACCATCTTTCTCACTTGCATCAAGATAAAAGGAGAGAGTAGTCCCAATCGAGACAATTGCAATCAAACAGAGAAGAGAACCATTTGTCATACAAAAATGAACAGAAAACAAACGGTGCTCAACTACTCGGTCCATCCTGACACCCAATGCCAGTTGGAACTACTACAGCTATCAAACCCAAACTTAAGCAACCAAAATATGTACACTATAAAGCCCAAACCAATTGTTGCAGCAAAAAAGTTTCAAATTTCAACCGAGTTCAAGACAAACTCAACCAGATCCTTGACAGACCAATAATATAGGTGGCTGTGTGTGAGGGAAGAAAAGAGATTGCAGATTATGCAAAATTTAAAACGATCTTAAAGATGCTGAGGCATATTTTGGGCATTTTTGTATCAAAAGAAAGATGTGGCTGGGAGAGTGGGGAGAATGTCATCCATCAATGCATAATACCTTCTGATCAAAACAAAATGCAGAAGGGTGCAATACCTTTTGATGTGTGAGAAGGTCCATCAATGTAACAAATGGCGCATCATTGCAGTTAACCTCTGATCAAGGGCATACAAAAATTAAAAATACAACATCAAAAACAAATTTCAATAAGTTCCAGGGAAAATGTGTTAACTGCGTCCAGGAGATTGAATCCAATATGGCATCCGATCTAGTTTACGTATTGATCGACGATCATAATTGCTGACATGTATGGATATGGTAAGAGAGTGAAGCATTGAAAATTTCTGACCCGCTGACCAATTTTCAGCAACTGAAGGATATCCGTTCTGCAGTTCACATCAAGTCGCATTCTTAAGATGGTTCCAGCAGTAGGAAATGTAGATAGCACATCTCTTGATGTTGGCAACGGTTCAAAATGTAGAGGAAGTGGATTATGCACTTCATCTTCCAGCCTGTGGAGCGTACTCAATAAATGAATAAATCTGTTAGATTACAAGTAAATAAGGACTAGACATAGCAAGCATCAATAGGGTGCTTGTACAGGTAGAAGCTGTTTTGTTAGCCATAAGTCATAAATGAAGTCAACTTTAATCATAAGATGTAATACTGTTGATAGACAGATCTCAATTTTATCAAGATACTGTGCCCCAAAGAAGGTGAGGTATACACATGTTCTCCCTTTAATGTATTCCTTCTTCTTTTCTTTTTACAGCAAATAAGTAACAAGTTAACAACAATAATAGTAACAGAAAACAGCTAGCTCACGCGGGCCGACTACCTCACTAATTATGTACAAATGTAAACAACTCTTTGAAGTTTTAAGTACTTGACTAAAAGATGAAAAAACTAGGTTGCTAGGAAATCTTTTGCATTCTAAAGCATTTCTGTATTTAACACTATCTTAGCTTCTCTTTCAACAGTTTTTGAACAACTAAACACAAATAACACTTCAACAGTTCAAAACTATTATTTATTCTATTTTTAGTGGACCAGAATGTTGTGTTGCTAAGGAAGTTTCCTAATAAGACTCCAAAATTCAAATCTCTAGAAGATTGGTAAATTAGCCTTTAAAGTTTCCATAGACACCTATGTGATTTTATATTATGGTAGGTTTAGCATTAAGGAAATTACAAGTAATTATGTTTATGTCATAAAATCATGGATGCCTAACATTTTGTTCTCTTGCAATCTTTTTCTTTCTCATCATTTTCTAAATCTCCCCAAATTATTTTACATCCATATCTGTTTTTTTCCCTTTCAAAGTATATATCAGATTTCAATAACCTTAACACATTACCCTAAGTAAGAACAAAATGTAAACATCATAAAGAAATTAAGGCTCACACTGTGCAGACAGCTAGAATAACACCAGCAACTTTTGACCTCAATCACATCCCCAAACGATCCCTAATAAATCTTGCACAAATGCTCAGACCAATTTATCCTATTAAATCCATCAAATATGTCCCAATTGCCAAAATATTCCAGAATTTCTTCTTCACTTTCAGCAAGTCGGACAGCCTTATGCTTGGCACTTTCTATCTTTAATCAACCTACTAAAGACTAAAGATTCAACTCCATCTCTCATATATAGATCTCAAGAAACCTAATCTTCTCCATGCATAGACAGGATAGGATAACAAACTGAAATATCGCAAGTGTTAAGAGTTTCAACAAAGTATAGTTAAAAAAAAAGTTGAAATATGAACTAAGCAATATTAAGGGGGCAGAAAATACACTTTGGATATCAGAGCATACCTTGACACGTGAAAGGTGAATAATGTCTCCAACAGACGCAGCAAGAGGAAGATCATCTATTTGTTGAGCAAATAAATGCACGGGAATCCTGAACTCATGTGACTCGTCAATTATTTTCAGCTTACAGATATAATCTGCAAAGAAACCATAAACTCTGGGCGATCAAAATAAGTTTACAACAATCAGGAAAAAAAACGATCAAGAACGTCAGCGAAAAAGAGAAGAATTATTCCAAAAAAAGAATCGTCTTCCGCATCTCCACAAATTTCATAGAAAGATTGTAAACAGTAAGGAAAAAATGGTGTCATCCTAGCCAGTCACAATCACATTTGAACTAAGCTTCGGATCTCGATATATTGCCGAGCAGACAAAAAAAAGAGTTAAGAAATGGCGGTACTTACAGATGCCTTTGGTTCTATGGGGCGGACTGAGGTCGGCAATGGCGGCAACTTTCTGGTTAATGCAAGTAATGGCGTCCTTTATCTTAAGAAACTTGTAATCACCCATCTCTCTGTCTGCAATTTGTTATGGATTCAATGTCTAATTTTATAAATAAATAAAAATCCGGGAAGGGAAGAATATAAGGGAAAAGGAGGCCAAATTTATTTTTTAAAGGGTTATATATATATATTTTTTTTTAGGAAAAAATACTCCTAAAATGATTTTAAAAAACGCAATTCTACATTTGGCCATTGAACTTATACCCTCTTCACGGGGAAATTTTTTTTAATAATTGAATGAAAAAAAAGAATTTATAAAATAATACGGTTATGAAACTATTTGTTTGAATGAAGTATTTATTACAATATTGAAAAGACAGAGTATTTATGTTCAAACTTCAGTGGGGACCAAAACGATAAAGATGTAAAAGTATGCATAGAAGGACACGTTCTCCCCTCAAAGGATTGTTTCAAGTACCTAAGGTCTATGATACATAAAGATGAGGGTGTAGATGATGATGTAACACACCGTATAAAGGCGGGATGGCTAAAGTTGAGGGCTGCTACTGGAGTTTTGTGTGACAAGAAGGTGCCTCTAAAACTTAAGGGAAAATTTTATAGAATGGCAATAAGACCAGCGTTGTTGTATGGATTAGAATGTTGGGCAACCAAGAAGGATCATGTAAGGAGGATAGAGGCTGCAGAAATGAGAATGCTTCGATGGACATGCGGTAGGACTCTGTGGGATATGACAACAAACTCTACTATTAGGATGTCCTTGGGGGTGGTGCATGTTTCTGAAAAATTGAGGGAGGGAAGACTACGGTGGTTTGGGCATGTCCTTAGGCGACTACCGTCGGATGCGGTCAGGAGGGTATAGTCGATTACAGTCGATGGTGCCAGAAGGAGAGGACGACCAAGGCGGAAGTGGGAAGACTGCTTGAGATCTGATTTGATGGATTTAGCCCTTACCGAGGACATGACCTCTGATAGGAAAGTATGGAGACTAAATACTAGGGTAGTCGAGTAGTGTGGGTCACATCTCTAGGGTGTATCATCTCTGTCTTCTTTTAATGCCTTTGTAGTAATTTCCATGAATTCTACTTTTTATACGTTTCTGTTATTGGTATTTATGAAGGCTTAGAACTGGGCTTGCTATCGTGGACTTCTGTGTAATATTCTCTTCACTTTTAAATTTAGTCGGGTCTTACGTTTCTGCCTATATGAAGAGATTTTTTCGCAGGGATTTATTTGCAGGGATTACTTCCCATTTCAAACGCGCATGTAATATTAATGATATTTATGACTGCATATGAATACTGTTCAACTATGTATTTATGTATTTATTTATACATGCTTTGCATTTTATCTATATTTTTAATTTTCTGACTGCCGGAGGTCTTCCACGGAAGCTACTCTCAACCTGGCGTTGGGGGCAGCCTACTACCCTACCTCCCCCTTACCCCATTGCATATGGGAATTGGGTTTTGTTGTTGTTGTTGTTGTTATTGAAGTGTTTATTACAATAATTATGGAAAACCTATAGATCATCATGCGACACCATTAAGTTTGAATAGGAGAAACGTTAGTATTGTAATGCGTTTCCTTCAACTCTTAATCACTCCTATAAGAATTTAATAATTTTTTAAAAAAAAATAAGTTAAGAATTCAAAAATTAGATTTGTAAGAAAAGGGAATGTGGAGTTGGTAGGATAAGAGCTGAGAAAAGAATAAGAATTGCAGAGATAACAAGCCTACATCAACGGATACAAAAATTAAAGAGAAAATAACCCAGTGACCGAAAATGTCTTATAATATACGATTTTGATCAAATTTTTTTCGATTTTCCAAAATGACCAACAAAATCGCAATGCGGTCTCTAAATCGCAACGCGATATCCAGTATCGCAAATCAGTTTCCAGATTCGCAACGCGATTTTGACTATCGCAATGCGAATATGTAAATCGCAACGCGATTCTGACTATCGCAATGGGATTTTCAAAGCGCCATTAGTATCGCAACGCGTATTTTATTTTCAAATTCCAAACACAGATATTAATATATCCCATAATTGCAACTCATAACCTAAAACCCTAAATCACAACTCAGTCTCATCTCCATCTCTCACTCTCTACAGCGATATCCGTCCCCATATCCTACGAAACCTGTCCCCATCTCCAGCGAAATCCTTCTATCTCCATCTCTCAGATCCACCCTCATAATCATTCACGGTCAGAAATGGAAAATCAACCAAATCAACCACTGAGGGTTAGTTTTTTTAATTATTTTTATTTTGAAATTTTTGTATTATTATTAGGTTTTTCATATTGAAATTGATGATAAGTTTACTGGTAATTTCAATAATAGATTAACCATTTCACTTAGATTTCTTATTAAACTCATTCGATTGCTGTCAATACTGCTAAACTGTTTAGTCTTTAACCCTGTGAAGTTAGTATTTGTCTTTGTTTTGTCTTTTGGTTGAAGTAATGCAATTCATTCAAGTTTCAATTTTAGACAATGACTATTTGAAATCGAGAATCGCAACGCGAAATGAAAATCGCAACGACAAAATCGCAACGCGATTTTAGTTTCGCGTTGCGATAGTCAAATTCGCTTTGCGATAGTCATTTTCGTGTTGTGATTTTCATTTTCGTGTTACGATTTTAAGTTTCAGAAACTATTCTTCTTCTGCAAATTGAAACTTGAATGAATTGCATTACTTCAACCAAAAAACAAAGACAAATACAAAATTCACAGTGTTGCAAATTTAAGTTTGAAAAATAAACTACTAATACACTTTATGTTTATTATTGTTTTTGGTATATCTTCACAGTGTAGTTTTTGGTATATCTAACTTAGTATGTTTATTGTTTTTGTATAACTTTTTTCGGCTCAATTGACCTTAAGGAATAAAATAAGCCTAGTCACTACAATTGCGTCGAAGCTTTCACCTGTACAAAGAAAATTGTTTGAGGATACTTACTTCGGGCCATGGTTGAAAGTACAACATCCGGGTGGAGATGCTATGTTGACCCATTTGTGGCTTCAGACCATGACTAACGATCTACCCGAGAGTATAAAACGTGGTAATAAAGAGATATGGTTTCATTTTCCACCGGCATATACGTGTTTTGGGCGGGAAGAGTTTTGCTTAATCATTGGTCTACGCTTCGGACACGATGATGTAGGTCGATACACTAGTCATATTACCCGCCCATCATGGTTATCCCGGGTTTTTCCTGAGCTGTCAATGGAGAAGCCGAATTTACACTTCGACGACTTGACGGGATTATTTAATAAGAAAAATGGTTTTACTCGGATGGATGACGTCGATGTCGTCCGAGTATGCCTTTTAGTACTTTTGCATGCCGGCTTTTTAGGCAGAGAGGCCAGACAACCTATTCCTAAGGACCTAATATTATTGGTAGATGACCTAAATGCATGGAACCTGTTTCTGTGGGGTTCGTATCTATGGAAAGCTACCTGGAATAAGTTGTCGTCTGCCTTTGATGACCGAAAAAGTTTGCGTGGCGATGGTTCCAAATACACTTTGTCAGGCTTTATTTGGGCCTTTAAGGTGAGAATTTCTATATAATGTTTTCAAAATTATAATTAATTATTTAACAATTACTAATGTTTGTGTATTATATTGTTTGTAGATTTGGATATTTGAGGTTTTTCCCGGCATGCGGACATATGCATTAAAAACTTCAAATGATATTCCTAGGGCTATTTCCTAGAAGAGGAAACAGTGGTTGTTGGATTGGGAAGAGTTACTACGGTATACGACAATAAATGATGTAAGTTAACACAAATACTACCATATATAAACAAGTTATTACTAGTACACGTTTAACTTTGTTTGAGCTTTTATATTGTTAGGAGGCCAACACTCCATTACAGAGGCTGACACCCACGGAGGCTGAGCTTGCCACTGATTGGTGGCAAGCTAGTAAGCATTTTTTTGATGGCACGGATGATGAGCAGCCTCCACTTCGAGAGCCATCACCTCACCCAGAGCCATCACCTGATCGACCACACTATACACCTCTACAATGAGAGTCATCACCTATTCCGTCACATCATCGAGCCTCTTCTCCACCATCACCTCATGATAGGCGACTGGCAAAGATGCCACGACATTTATCTCCCTGTTCTCCACCTCCACGGGATGAGTTAGGGGAGTTACGTGATGAGGTCAATGCCTTGCGTGAGGAGGTCGGTACTTTACGCGATGATAATGGTGCATGGCGTGATGAGGTATCTACTTTACGTGGTGAGGTAGCCGCTCTACGTGAGATGGTAGCATTATTGCATAATGAGGTTCATACTCTACGCAACAAGGTAAGTTTAAGATTTTTCATATTTAACTTGATTTACTCGTAATTTCACTTAGATTAACCATTTCATTTAGATTGCTTAGTAAATTTATTCGGTTGCTGCCAATACTGCTAAACAATTCTAAAATAACCCTGTGCAGTTAGTATTTGTCTTTGTTTTGTCTTTTGATTGAAGTAATGCAATCCATTCAAGTTTCAATTTGCAGAAGAAGAATAGTCGCAACACGAAACTTAAAATCGCAACGCGAAAATGAATATCGCAACGCGGAAATGACTATCGCAACGCGAATTTGACTATCGCAACGGGATAATCGTAATACGAAATAAAAATTGCAACGTGAAAATCACAATGCGAAAATGAAAATCGCAACGCGAATTTAGTTTCGCGTTGCCATTTTGGTTTCGCATTGCGGTTATCTTGTTGCGATAGTCAAATTCGCTTTGCGATAGTCATTTTCGCGTTGCAATTTTAAGTTTCGTTTTGCGATTTTAAGTTTCAGAAACTATTATTCTTCTGCAAATTGAAACTTGAATGGATTGCATTACTTCAACCAAAAGACAAAGACAAATACTAACTTCACAGTGTTGTAAATTTAAGTTTCAAGAATAAACTACTACTCTTTATGTATTCCTTGAACATGCACTAAACCTATATGTTTTCCTTTTAAATGTTTATATAAGTGCTTACTTCTGGAATGTTATCTGATGCATTTTGTGAACTATGATAG